AAGGTGTCCCTGCTGATGGCAGGGGGGTTGGAACTGGATGATCTTTAAGGTCCCTTCCAACCCAAACCATTCTATGGTTCTATGAATCTCCATTTCATCATCTAGCTTAGAGCCACTACTCCATCCCTGTGCTGCGAACTCCAATATGCTACTCAAAAAGAACCAAGTCCCTCAAAATAGGGGAGGGGATAAAATCAGAAATGTACAAATATTAAATGGAATATCCATTTTATTTCCAATAAAAATTTAGATCCTAGATGGATACAGCATCTGTGAAAGACAAGAATAAAATCATGTTAGAAATCTTGTTATTGGACTGTACTGTTTCAAACTGAAGTTCTGCAGTTACGATCTAGATCATCAACCTCTTCCACCACTATAAAAGCGACCCCCCATTTACACAGAAGAGGGGCAAGAACCGAAAAGCCCAACAACTAGCTCAGTGACTTGAAGCCACACTTTGCTGGTGACTCCCTTGGCAGTCATCCCTCCTGCTCACTGACGGAGTCCTCATGGGTCCAGTTTCAGGATTTAACTGTGCTGCTCCTACTGGGCTTTTTCTAAGGCACGGGAGAGAGACAGAAAGAAAGGACTGCACCCCTCTGATACTCCTTTTGACAACACCACTAGAAAGATTTCATCAAAACTCTGGGTGAAGGACCTAAAAGGACAGTCTCAGTGAAGCCTTGTGGATGAAACACTGACTGTGTAGCAGGTACTAGTGGACACGTCAGGACAGCTCATCCCTCAGTTAAAACATTTGGGAGGTAAGAGAAAAATCTATCGACAGGTAGGAACTGGAACAGAAGGTGCAAAAATACAGGTACAAGATCCAGGGCAAAGAATCAAGGGAGTTGAGGAAGAGTCCTGGAACTTGAAGAACCTTTCTAGACCACCTGAGCAAGCATACAAACCCCTTGGCAATGAGACAAACCCCCTCAGCACAAGCAGCTGGTTTTAAACCTCTCCTCGCTGCAAAAGGAGCGCTGCACAGAGCACCATGCTGAATACACAACAAACCCATAGTTCGAGCTTTCCCTCGTACTATCTGGGATTAAAATGCACCCTGAAAACTGGCAATAAATGTCCTGTTGCTAAAATAAATCCACTTACCACCCGGATTCTGTGTCCAATGGCCTTGGCAGGAAGGTTGGAGCGGAACTTGGCACGAACCATGCCGCTGTTCCCGTGGGCGCGGGTCACCTTCCCCCAGATCACTCGTGTCCTGTTGGGCTTGCCACCGGGGGTTACAGTGTTGCTGAGAAAAGAGAGGAAAAGAACCGCTGAGCAGCCAGCCAGCTCCAGGGGGGACTGATCAGTGACAGGGCAGACAGTGCAGCCTCTTCACGGCCCTTCCATAACTTTATTCCACAGCCATCTTTAGCTGGATCATCTTCCCCTTCTATTTCCTGTGACATCTGCCAGGCCTGGGATTTTCACTGTCCCTTCCAAAGGGGCAAGTATCGCAGCCTGTAATTTTTCAGAAGCTCTGCTAGAGAACTATTAACAAGTTACAAAGCTTAAAAATTTGGAATGCTGATGCTAATATGATCAACCCAAAACCTCATCAATTTAAACTCCAAAGAAAACAAAACATCTTATTTGTAAGATGACTCCAGACACACCAGAGGCAGGAGAGGCCTAAGCCACTGAAACAGACTGCAAGAAACTGCTTTAGAAGAAAAGCCACACGCTATCTGGGAAATATCTGGGGCAGTGGGTGTGAGCTGGAACACAGGAGGTTCTGCTTAAACTTGAGAAGAAACTTCTTTACAGTGAGGGTGACGGAGCCCTGGAACAGGCTGCCCAGGGAGGGTGTGGAGTCTCCTTCTCTGGAGACATTCAAAACCCGCCTGGACGCCTTCCTGTGTGATCTCATTTAGGTTCCTGCTCTGGCAGGGGGACTGGACTGGATGATCTTTGGAGGTCCCTTCCAATCCCTGACATTCTGTGATTCTGTGAAATCATGGTGGTCCAGTTAACACTGATCCATTTTATTCAAGGCAATTTTGAACTCCTAGATCTGAACTCTAACAACTACATTAAAAAAACAAAGGAGAAAGTAGTAAGTAACTGTTGTTAAGGCCTCCCCCAGTGCCACCACAGCAGAAGTGACAGTGCTTTGACACAGGCACGCAACAGCCAGGATACAAATTCCCCCAGGCTTCACAAAGTAATTCTGCTGTTTAAGTAACTCCATACAAAACCCACCTCACTTCACTTTACTCTCACAACCCACCTTCAGGTTTTCCCAGACTCAGGCAAAATTTGTTTCTCATCCCATTTGTTCTCTAATGTATCATTTAAGACAATGAATTATTATTTCCCATAATTTCATGATCTGAATTAAGAACACATACACAATTAAAGCAAAAATAACCAAGGACATTAAAACCAAAATCAACCCATTTGAACTGCCTACAGAGTTCTCCATGGAAATCCTAGTGATGAACTGAGCCAAACTGATTTTTGTGCTAACAAAAGCTCAGTAAACAGACTGCTCACACCCTGGCATTTGCAGAAGCTGATACAGGCACTGGCTAATTCAGCCTAACAATTAAAAAATGACTTACTTTTTAGCTTTGTATACATAGGCACATCTCTTGCCCAAGTAGAAGTCTGTCTCCTGACGGGCATAAACACCTTCAATTTTCAGAAGGGCAGTGTGCTCCCGCTGGTTTCGGAGGCCACGTTTGTAGCCAGCAAAAATGGCCTTGCACCACAGCCTGAAGGCATTGAAAACATTTACAAATTACAATTCACCCCAAAGCATCAAAGGTACAAATCATGTTCCAGCAGAAACTGCTTCCACACTAGCAGGAATTTAGCTGAGGAAAAACACCACTGCTTTTGCTTTTACAAATTACTACAAATCCTTACATTCAGTCAACAGAGGAAAAGTGAATAACTGAGACATTAAAATTTACAAGAACTTTGTGTCTTTCTCCTTGTTATAAAATTCTGGCACTACAAGCTTCATACTAAAACCAAAGTGCTTCAACATCAGTAAGGGTCATGTCTTCAATTGTCTCCAAACACTCTGTGATGAGTGAACATTACTTTGCTTCCTACAGACCACAGAAACTGAGTCTCTTGTGTTGCAGTAACTGCTACAGGAGAAGATTTTTAACTGCTGTGTATTTGTAACCTCAAAGGAATTAACTGCAGTCTGTGGGGACAGCCAGAGAGCAGCCCCCACACAGGACAGGTGACATTGCACAAACTCAACTTACTTTTCACAACAAACACATGTCTGTACTATGCCAAGTAAAGCAATTATAACGCTCATCCCACACATCGTGTGCACATCATGACTGTCTCAGCTGCATCCAGCAACCATCCCATAATACAGCAGTATTAACTAAGCTAGCCACACACATACATAACAGAAGATAAACTCCACACATTCAATCTCTTCACCATTTACAAACTCAAAGGCTACATCCAGAAGAAAACGTGATGGCAGAGCAGCTCCTGTACTCAAGGAAACAGTGTCAAAGCCTCTGCTGCACTGTGAACCTCCTCTGCTGCACAGTGGAGGGTCACATGGCAGAGCAGCTCCTGTACTCAAGGAAACAGTGTCAAAGCCTCTGCTGCACTGTGAACCTCCTCTGCTGCACAGTGGAGGTTCACAAAGGAAACCACCATCAATATCCACAGCTGCTGAGAGGCCGGGGAAAGCCACACAAACAGCTACAACCCGCTTAGGGCAGAGGCTGCAGACACAACTGTGGGCGTTTAACAGAGGGCCCGGCAGGATACCGGGGACAGGAGCTGTCCTGGGAAACGGATCATTGCCCACAGCTCCAACAAAACACCCAGCAACGCTCAGTTTGCGGGAAGACTCGTCGAAAGTGCGCTGCGACAGCGACCCGAGCGCCACCTCCGCGGGGCAGCCCACTCACCTCCCGGTCATGGTGTCCTCCAGACGCCCTGGTCCCAGCAGGCCTGGAAA